GTTGTATTAGTATACTTCATACACTATAAACCACAACCAGAAAGTTATATAGTAATTCAATGAAATAACATTAAAATACTATTTTCTTATTTCAACTCAAGAGATATTCAGCTCAGCCCCTCACTCTGTAAATGACCATCATATACTGAAAAGTCATAACCAATCTTTTGGATCATCAAACGGTATTTTTTTCTAAGGAGACTCTTATCATTTACTGAGACTGAGAAAATCACAGACACTGGACTGTACTTCTTGGGGCTCTTCTCCCTCTACTGCTGTTCTCTGACTTTTCTTCCATGTTTGTTAAGAAAGTGAGATGGTTCTTTAAAAGTCATCAAAACTTTTTTCTTCCAAATCTCACAGGAAAATAGATACTCCAGAAATATGTTATGGTGGATTGACAACTGCTGGTCAACTTGTAACACCAGCTGAACTTAACCAGTGTGGTGCTGGGTGTGGGAGCCCCACCCCAGGACTGTTGTCAGAAGCATAAGAGCCAGAATGAGAGAAGGAGGAAGAAGGCTGTTGGGAACTGAGGAAGGCTGTTGGGAGCTGGTAGAAGCTGTTGGGAGCCTGCTGGAAGTGGAGAAAAGCTGTAAGGAGCTGTTGGTTTTCTTGGAGGAGCTTGTCATGCTTGCTTTCCTGGTGAACTTGGCTATTCTCATCCTCCAAGGCCTTGGTACCTTGTTGTCACCGAGAATGGCTTCAGTTCACTTTAGAGGAGCTCTGGTCCTTACTCTAAGCATTGCTTCCTGGCTCTGGAAAGGAAGATGGTGCACTACTCAAGTCTCCTGGAGAAGCTTGTACTGGCTTTCCTGATGGGAACTCAGCTGTCCTGATCATCAAAGGAGCCCGGGACCTCACTGTTGCTGAGTATGGCTGTGGTACTTTTCGGGGGAGCTCCGGTTCTTATTTTGAGCATCGCTTCCTGGCTCCAGTGTAGGTCCCTCAGCCTGCTAGCAAAGATCCTTCATCCCACTGGTACAGACTTTCTAGATTCCACCACTGACCTTTGGGACTTCCCAGGATAGATTTGTGAAACAGGCCTGCATGAGACATTGTCATGGGCTCTAGGCCTCCAGTTGGACTCATGGGAGGCATTGTTAAGGGCTCTAGGTCTTCAGCTGAACTCATGAACAGCATTATTATGGGATCCAGGCCCTCCGCTGGATTCTTTGGTCTTTAGTGAGATTTCCTGCACTCTCTTGTATATGATTCTTTGGGTGACTATTATAAATAATCTTATAAAATATGTCTCCTATATTATACTGTTCACTTTGCAAAAACCCCAAACCACAACAGATGTATCATGGATATTCTGCTCCTTTGCAAACTCCCTGCACAGAACTGGAACTATGTCCACTCTGGCTGGAGAGGCATACAGTAAGTAGTGCTTATAGTTAATCTGAAAAACTGGCATCACTTGGTCCCTGCAATTAGAAGAGACTTGGGAGCAGCCAGGCTCCCAAGGGCATGGTGGCACCTGAAGGGTACTATCCTTTACAAATTCTCAGAGCAGTTATTTTTTTCTACCTAAAACAAGGCTGAATGACAAAATGCACTGCTGTCTTCTTTTACTGAACAGCAAAGTTGTTTTTCTGGCCCAGCCCTTTACTGACTATATTCCTCCGTGATGGTGCTGGGCTTGTATGTACGTGTGCATAGTGATAGAGAAACAGCTCCAGCTGCCCACTTTAAATACATCAAAAATTACTGTCTGTTTTGAGGCTACTGAGGGTGAAGGCTCTTGCTTCTTGGTATCTTCAAATGCCTTCAAGTCAACTATGATTTAAGCATTCAATTGTAACTCTAGTTTGCAGCTGCTTCTTTAGATGTGATGCTCTGAAATTTTCTTTTCTTTCCCTCTCCCTTCTCTTTTCTTCCTTTCCCTTCTCTTTCTTTTTTCTTTTTAGTATTGTGGATTGAACCCAGGGCCTTTGCATTGAGCTACATTGTAACCCTTTTTATTTTGAGGCAGGGTCTCACTAATTCACCTAGGGTGGGCTTACACTGATCAGCCTCAACCTCCCAGAATCTGGCTGAAAATACAAATTCTTTTCAAGCACATATGGAACGTATGCCAAGATATCCTTGGTGTAAATATTCTTGGTATAGCTTGGTTCATAAACTAAACCTCAACAAATTTAAAAGAAATGAAATCATACACAGTATATTCTGAGTATAATGGTATCAAATGAGAAGTCAAGAATAATGTTAACAAGAAAATATCCAAATGTTTGAATGTTAAACAATATACTTGCAAGTAATCCACAGGTCTAGAAAAATATCTCCTGGGACATTAA